GGTGCCGTGAATTACCTATGATTTCCGAAACAAAATTTATGCTGGGCTGTTTTTCCGAAATAGCTTGGGCTGTTTTCAAAATGGCTTTTGGAAATTTATGAAAAAAGAAGCTTGGGATGTTGTGAACATTAACTAAGGTGGCTTTTGGCATTCTCCTACTTTGCCTATAAAAATGAGATGATGATGTGAAGGGAGGCAGTTGATATTTGTTAGCATATTTGCTATTAACCTGCGGGTTTATTCGGAAATCCTGCGGGCTCTTTCCAACCTTCTTTTCTCATCCCCTCCGGAAATCCTGCAGGCTCTTTCCACCCTTTCTTCTCGGGCTTCTAATCTCTTCGTCTCTCCGCAAGTGCCACTCCATCTGTATCCTTCTTCTCAACAGTGAAGCAGCTTTAGGGTGTCGTGTCTTGGTTGATTTGGAAGCATTTGGATAGTCTTGCTGTGGTGGACCATCGGTTTGCTAGTTCTATGCACTTTACTTATTTAACCTACAAATTCGATGCATGTGAGGAACCCGCTCTGACGGTTGTCTGAGGATAGCGTCATTTTAAGTTTCTTTATTTCTTTAAAATCTCCTAGCATCTTTTATTGTGTTTGTCAAGTTTTGGGTCGTTTGAGTTTATTTAACAAAGTTTGTTTTAAGTTCTTCTCATTTTGTCAGTTTTCTTCTTGTGTGTCTTTTGTGTTCAAGAAATATAGGGTCCCCTATATTCCTTGTCTACATCAAGATTTCCGTGAACAGCCCTCTTCCCATTCAATCGTGTATCTACCAGGGAGTGTTGCTGGTTCTGTGAGGCGGAAAAAGGGCGGAAGAGGGAGTTCGGTTGAGTGCTGGAGAGACCAATTGCGGTAGAAATAGGGGGTTGCCATGAGGGTGAGTGCAGAATTCAGTGGAAAAGGAAGAAGAAGAAGGGAGAAGAGGGAATTGCGGGAAAGGAACAAACAGAGGTAAGCAAATTGAATTTTATTACAGTTGTTTAATAGACTTTCAAATATTGGTAATGTTAAAAGAGATTATACACAATTTTTATTTAGAAATTTAACAGGTATATGAGGGGAGGTTTTGATTGCGAGGTAAATTGTTAATTGAGATGAAGTGATTTTATTCAATTGTATAAACTATAGAAATTAAGATGTGAATTATGTTGGTGATTCACAAATAAAAAAGGGTATGAGATGCCAGAATCGAGGAGGCAATTCGTCACGGGGGTTAAAAATGCAATTGGCTTTGTAATTATATATACATGATATAAATGAGCTCTTTTGAATGCTTCTGTTTATAGCAAAATGTGTTGAACTGTGACTTGAATATACATATATGTTGAGAAATGATAGATTAAATGTTGAAGAATTTTATGTTTTTCTTTGTTGCACCCTGCGACTGTTGGTGGGGATGTCATGGGGTGTGACAAAGCGCGTTTCGTCGTTTGAGTTTTAATGCCCTAAGGGGAGTTAGGTGAGCGAACCGTTGCGTCATTTGAGAGCAAACCGCTTCAGGTGGGGTCTAGTGGTCAACAGTCCCATCTTGATCAATGGAAAGAACATATGCAAGCCTAAAAACATTTAGTGGTTTTGGTATTTTATATGTCTAAATAATGAATGTTTCTCCTCTTTCTAAATGGATTTAGAAAACTATTTATGTGGATTCTAACTACTTATTGATGCAATCAAAAATTTGGAGAGGGACCCAAATTTTTTATCACAAAAACAAACTCTTCCTATAACTTAAAAGAGACTAAAATTTAACATAAGATAAGGCGACGACACTTGCACAAAACAAAACACAACTTTAATATTATGAAAGGACTTATAAGACACTTACAAACCTTGACTCTTACAAATGACTCAAACAAAATGATACCCTAAAGTTGTTTCACTTAGAGACGAAAGATACAGATGGAGTGGCACTTGCGGAGAGACGAAGAGATTAGAAGCCCGAGAAGAAAGGTTGGAAAGAGCCCACAGGATTTCTGGAGGGGATGAGAAAGAAGAACGGACAAAGCTCGCAAGCTTTTCCAATAACCCGCAGGTTAGATTCCAAAAATCACATATCATTCACCACCCATTTCATCACAAAACATCTCATATATATAGGCAATAGGCGAGAAACTTAACAGCCCAAAAACCCCTCAAATCCCATATAAAAATAATAGAAAATGAAAGGCCAAAAGTCACCTTGCATGATATCCCAAGAGTCACTGCCATTTCCAAGCAGAACAAGGCCACGGAACCAGCCAAATACAGAGCCAATGCCATGGTTTCAGCACAGGAAACCAGGAGTTTTTTTTTTTATAGAAATCCCAAACGGCACAACAATTCTCAAGGAGGAGGCCACGGTTTCAACAGCCAAGCACAGGAATACAACAGGTAAGTCACGGTTTTCAGCAACCAAAAAGCCACCACTTTTAATGAGAGAAAGGGGACCACGGGACAGAGAAACCGAAGCAATTCATGGGAGGAAAACCAGCAGAAAACCGCAGCAGCTCAAGAGGTAAAAGGAAGAGGAAAAGGCAAGTTCCACTCACCCAAAAGCTTGCACACTTCAACTTTAATTTAAGAGCTAAACATCAGCTCATAATGAGCTAATCTTTCACTAGACATTAATGAGCTAGGGAAGTCAAAAATCAAATATTATGATTTGATTTGACCCCCCCTTGCCTACATCAAACTCCCCTTCTTGAAGACTCAGCTCCCGATGAGTCAGTTCTTGGTTTCTTTCGAGGAGGTGAAGGGGTTTTTCATTCGTGATACAATGAAAAATTTGGGAGAATGACCCAAATTTTTTATCACAAATAAAATAAGACTTGACAACTAAATCCAAGGACTTCCTAACTTGCTCTGATACTAAATTTGATGCAATCAAAAATTTGTGAGAGGGACACAAATTTTTGATCACAAAGGAAAAACACTTCCTATATAAAAGAAACTCGCTAAAATACCCATAAGGATACAAAATACGACAATTGAACCAAAATAACTTTATATTAGAAAATAAAATGATTTACAAACTTTTAAAATTATAACGACTTACAAACTTGACTCAATCACTTGACGACACCCTAAAGTTGTTTCACTTAGAGACGAAAGATACAGATGGAGTGGCACTTGCGGAGAGACGAAGAGATTAGAAGCCCGAGAAGAAAGGTTGGAAAGAGCCCACAGGATTTCTGGAGGGGATGAGAAAGAAGAACGGACAAAGCTCGCAAGCTTTTCCAATAACCCGCAGGTTAGATTCCAAAAATCACATATCATTCACCACCCATTTCATCACAAAACATCTCATATATATAGGCAATAGGCGAGAAACTTAACAGCCCAAAAACCCCTCAAATCCCATATAAAAATAATAGAAAATGAAAGGCCAAAAGTCACCTTGCATGATATCCCAAGAGTCACTGCCATTTCCAAGCAGAACAAGGCCACGGAACCAGCCAAATACAGAGCCAATGCCACGGTTTCAGCACAGGAAACCAGGAGTTTTTTTTTTTTATAGAAATCCCAAACGGCACAACAATTCTCAAGGAGGAGGGCACGGTTTCAACAGCCAAGCACAGGAATCCAACAGGTAAGTCACGGACCGCAGCAGTTCAAGAGGTAACAGGAAGAGGAAAAGGCAAGTTCCACTCACCCAAAAGCTTGCACACTTCAACTTTAATTTAAGAGCTAAACATCAGCTCATAATGAGCTAATCTTTCACTAGACATTAATGAGCTAGGGAAGTCAAAAATCAAATATTATGATTTGATTTGACCCCCCCTTGCCTACATCACTTATCAAGTCACATCATCAAAAGCAAGCATTTATGTAACCTTACTCGTGATAACTTCAATTGAACGCTTTTGTAAGGATGTTTCGACATGTAACTTAGCTTCAACAAAATTTCACCATAATCTTTTTTAATATGGCTTAGAATCCTGATTGTCTAGCAAAGTCTCTTTTCTCCCCACTTCAAACTGGCATTTTCATGGGAAGTAGACCACTCATTTTCATCTTATTAATGATATTTAAAATATATACAGTGAGTTGAATCAGACTATACTGATTTTCATCATTAACTGTCCAAAGTGGTTGTGCTTTCTAAGAGGCATTTTCTCGATTAGTTTTTTATATTTTTATTTAAGCATGGAGGTATCATCAGTAAGTCTTGGATTTGGAAGGCATTCATCCCTTGAAGATGGCTTTCTTTGGTTGGGGTGTTACTTCAGGAAAGGTTCCTTCTAAATCTTTTCTCTCGTTTGAGCTTCAAGATCTCTACAGAATGTCATATGTAATTCCCTCCAAATTCTCTTTAGGAGAGATCTTTATTATAATCAAAGACTAAAGACATTTAGGGCATCCTCTTGTTATCGGCTATTTGGAGAATATAAACAGATGCTTTTTTAATACTATCAAAGATGACAAAAAAAATTGGTTCAGCACTCTATCTTAAGCATATTTTTAGAAGGAAAATAGTAATTGAAACAAAATAGAACATATCAAATCAAAAGGATAGCTTTAAACCTTCTAGACATCTCTAGATCTTTTTAGAGGTACGATTAACTTTCATTTCTATATATTATTATTATTATTATTGTCAACTCTCAATTTTTGTCACTCTATTTTTTTTATCCCTTTTCTCTTTGTTAATGAGGTAGGTCAAATTTACAATAAAAAAAAAATCAGTGGTCAAACTTTAGTTGTTAATGGCATATAACATTCCACTATTTGTCAAAATTAGATATGCTTGATAACCCATCAAAGGTAGTATGCTTTGCAGAAAAAAAAAAGTAACAAATCGTTAAATGATATTACTGGAAATGTTTAGAGATGTAAAAACAAGCACTTCATTTGTTGTTCAATTTTCAAGATAAACTCAGCAGAATTTTGCACCTACAACCTTGACTTGTCATTGTTAGACTGTGTTCATGTTAGACTGTGATGAACACAAGACGCTTCTCAAACATAGCCAATATCTGTAATCTACCAAACAACAAATATAGAGTAAATTTTTAACATACTCTGAGTCGGTTTCTTCATCAAGCATACGAAACAGGTATTCTTCAATCTTCTCATTGACCATATCCTGTTTAAAATTTCATGCCAAAATGGTAAGAATTTTGAATGTACGACATTAATGTTGATAAAAAAACCAATGATACAGCTACTCCCGTCAAAGATTAACAGCCTACCTCTACTTTTATTCTCCTATGTTAACATAACGTTATGGTGCAACATGAGTTCCACAATCTAATATCACATTCAAGCTCTAATTATCAAACAACTCAGTTACACATCAATAATAATGATTATTACATTTAAAACTACTAAATACCACTCCAAATATAATTAGCTCAGTTGCATTCAATAAGTGCAAAAGTTACAAGGCTGTTTCTACAACGACATGGAAAACTAACATAAAATATAGGACTGAAGGTGATGCGGACATCGAAGATCAATGGCTACGATCTTGAGTTATTTATTTATATGTACTAGTTTATTTCATATTATTGTTTTTCCCTTTATACCCTTACGGGTGGTCATGTAGTATTGTAGCCCGAATGGCACTTTAGTCTTTAATTTCTTTTGTTTTCATGAGGCCTATTTATAGGCTAGTTGTTTTGTATTTTGGGACGATGATTGATAAATGAAAATTTCTACTTTTGATCTCTTTGTGAGTTCATTCTTCCAAGATCTCTTAGTGAGTTCGTCGGAGGAACTAGATCTCTTTGTGAGTTCTAGCGTTCGTCCAAGTTAATTGTGTGGAAATCCGGATTGAAGACAAATGAGGTTAGTGAATTCGTAGTCGCTCGAATCCCTTGAATTTTCCCTCTCTTCCTCCCCTTGCAACAGCCGCCGCCTAGCCCTGAGCCGCCCAAGCCGCCGGCCAATTGGTTGCCACATCCCGCCGGCCGGCCACCCCACGCCGTGACCCACCCCTTGCCCTTCCTCTAGTCGCCGGCCGCCCCTTCCATGGAGTTTCAAATTTTGAAATTTCTTAATTTACACCATCAATTTAATTGATTTTCAACTTCAAATTTGAAATTCAAATTGTTTAAATTGATTGTCCTCCTAAATGGAAGTTTTCTCTCCTTAAGAAAGCTGAAATTTTATTTCAGATTTTTGTAAAAATCTGAAATTAAATTGGTGGTCCCCACTTATTCAAAACTCAAGCCCCTCTCTCCTCCTTATGTGGCCGGCCCCCCTTAATGGGCCATCTCTCTCTCCAAATTACATTAATGGCTCCACTAAATCAGCCCCTAATTACCTCCTCCATTAATACCCATAGCTATTATTGAATTAATTTAAAATTTCAAATTAATCTCCCTCCAAAATCACTTGAAGCTGAAATTAATTTCAGTTTTCTAAATTCCTCCCTCTCCCTCTAGCTCACGACTGAACCCTCCTCTCCCAATTTACTGGCTGCTCTCCTCCAGCCCACTGTCCACTAGTTTCATACAATTTCCTGCTGTCCCGCATCTTTGGAGAGACGCTCAAGGGCCAAAACTGCTGTTCAAGCCTCCATAGTGGGTGTCCAAACACCCCTAGCTGCTGTTCACAATACCAGCAGGCTTCTTCCTACTGTCATGCCGTCCAGAAGGTTCCCACACCCACTGCCTCAAGTTCCTGGACGTGTTACCCTGCTGCCCTGAAATTCCTGCCAAGGAAATTAAGTAGTTTCTCTGCTAAGAATCCTCCGGTCAACAGTTTTCAGCAAACAATTTGCTGTCCTGCATCCTGGAACATCGCTAATCGCGGTCCAGAAGTTCCAGGCGTTCCACAGCAGCTGTCCAAGGTCTTATTAAGCCCAATAGGTGGCAGCCCAGAATTGTTTTAAATGCTCAGAGCTGCTGTCCAGTTATTTCCGTAAGCTCTTATTGCTGTCCCGCCACCTAGGAGCTCCATATTGCTATCCAGCAACATCATGAAGGTTCGTGGTTGCTGTCCACTTCATTCTCAGCTTTCAAACAACCTTTCCGGAGTGCGTATCTCTCTTGTCTTTGGGTAAATTAGACACCCGACTCTATATCTTCATAGTTGCATCCATGAATGTGAATTTATTATCTTCATGAAGATCATATTAATGCTTCTCCGCTAAAACCTAGTAATTGAAAGAGTTGTGTGAAGGATCTTCTTGTAGCGACTAATCTCATTGTTATTTTAGGGATTCATCGTTGAAAACTAATCACGTATGCATCGTTAGATTAAATTGAATGTTTTACAATCTTAACTCCTTATATGTGATTTAGCCTAAGCTCGTTTTACCGCTTTTAATGTTTTATCTCGTCGTTCAAATCATCATAAAGACATAATTATTTGTTCTCTCTAAAATTAAGCGTGCAAATTCATTAAGTATATCATCTTTGCATGTATGTATCACATCAGAAGGACTTGCAAAAGTGGCCATAACCCTATTTAAGGAAAATGTAACCTCATGAAGAAGTTATGAGAGATGGCAGATAAGAATCAAACACCTGATCTACAGAAGAGGAAAAATTAATGTTTAACAATAGTAATGGCTAAAAATAAGCAGCTTTGCTGTTTTTATAACAAGTTTTTTTAATAAATCTGCAACAATAGATATATTGAATATAATTATGGTATGCCATATTTCCTGACTAATTTCATGATGTTAGTCCCTATAAACACCCAATCCTGCAAATATAAATAGGTTTGAATTTGATCTCTCTTTATTCCTCATCTATCTACCCTATCATACATAAATTTTCATTGAAAAATCTCCACCTCATCATGTGAGGTCTGTCCGAGGCGAGCCACCTAGTATTCGCCCAGTCTCACCAACATGCAGTGAGTCACAGGCACCGAACTCACTCACCCGTAACCATCATACAGCTTTCGCTCATGAGCTCCTCGTTGTGCCCACCCATTGCTTGTAGCACATGCTTACACACTAGTATGTAGTCATCATTCAAATTGCTTATGTGAGCTTCATCTCAGCCACATCATGACAATTAACACCAAACCCTTCCCTCGACAACCTGATGTTGCCGCCTCACCAACAAATAGCTTGGTCACGCCACCCTTAATCATCCATATCCATGCCACTAAGCAAGCGAACCCTCTTAGAGGTTCTTTCTTGGTAACTAATGCTTCTTTATGACGCTGTCCTATGCTTGCTCGTGATACAAGCTTGACTCCTTCATCAACGATGGCTTCCCAGTCAATTTTACGCATTAATAGTATTTCACTTATAATTTCTCATTTACAATCACTCCCACTAGAGTCATTGCTTCCATCAATACTATTGGATCGATTCTATAAATGATACTCCCTGTCTTCTCCACCAACTCGATTCTGTGGGCTCCGAAAATTACATAAGTTCCGCGTCCGGCATCTCTGCGCCAGTCTATTTTCTTTGTTTGTGATGATGACGGCGGAGAGTTTTAACGAGATTAGGTTTCGGGTGAATTTTCATAAGGCAGATTGGGTTTTAGATAAGACACTACACAGAGATTTCGCCCTCATTTTGTGAGGACTTTATAATCTGAGATCTGGTTTCACATAGGCACAAGCCCCTATAGTTAATTACCCTCCCGATAATGAGAAAGAACATTCGATTAAGGTTAGTCGTTAAAGTGGTTACGTGGGTTGTAGATCCAACCTATAATAGCAACAGTCTTAGGGTTTGAATTTTGGATTTTTGTGGGCTCCGAAAATTCGCCCTCGGCCTCCACTCGCTGCGCGATTTCTTTTTTTATCTGAGCGAGGGAGTTTTAACGAACTAAGTTCCGAGGTAAATTTTGGAAGGCAGATGGGTTTGTAGATAAGACACTACCCAGAGATTTCGCCCTCATTTTGCGAGGAAAAAGATATATATATATATATATATATATATATATATATATAGAGAGAGAGAGAGAGAGATCAGATATCACTCTTGCCTACTCGCTCCTCCTCGACCACCACTTGGAGTTCTTCTGGGCCACCACTTGACACCCAGAGTTCTTCCAGACTACCACCTGATACCCAGAGTTCTGCCAGACCACCACTTGATGCATAGACTTCTGCTAGACCACCACCTTAGGTTCGGACTTTTGCAGGACCACCACTTGAGGCCTAGACTTCTGTTGGGCCATGACTTGACACCCAGAGTTCTATCAGAGTACCACCCTACTACTATGTTCTTTCTGACCCATGTCTCCTGCTGACTACAGTCCTTCCAACACCTTCATTGCTGACTACGGTCTTTCTGACCTCTATCCTATCGACTATGGTCCTTCTAAGGAAATAAATGTATATGTTGATTATTGTAACTCCCACCATGTAATGCGCTTTATATGATATACATTTGTGACATCATGACATGGTCTTCCCCCCAATGAAGGGCCTCAACTATAATCGATTGCAAATACCAGTGGATTCATTCAAACTAGGCCAGGACCCATGGTTTTCCCCCTTTTTAGGAGTTTTCAGGTAAAAACTCTAGTGTCTCTTATGAACACTACACTATCTCTTTCATCTGCTTGTGTGCAGGATCTTTGTACAATGCTAAAATGTTAAATAATATAATTCTCTATTATCGTGAATATTCCAGGAAGCAACAATATGGTATTTTATTTTTCTTAACTCCAGTAAAGTGTCTCCTACAATGGCACCATAAGTTAAATATCCACTAAATTAGTCAATCCATATTAACATTAAGGGAAAACAAGTTGACATAGAAGAAGTGGAAAATAATATAATAAACTTAGAAATAGAGCTAGTGTAGTTTGTAGAGATAAAGTAAATGGTAGAGCAACAGGTCAAGGAAGTGTTAGTTAAATCTCATGGTACTTCATCTATTCTGAAGGGTAGATCATATCAGGAAGAATATGGCTTTGGGAATGGATTTGTACCTCCTTTATTTAAAAATTTTGATGGTATGAGGAATCCTAAATAATATCTTGCACATTTTAGGGCTAGTTGCTATAATATTGGAGGTAGTGATGCACAATTATTTAGGCAATTTGTTAATAGTTTATCCGTCATTATATTTGATTGGTATATTAAACTACCCAATGGGTCAGTCCATACTTTTAGTGACTTCAAAGGGTTATTTCTAAAAAGGTTGGCTTATGCAAAACATCACATCACTGTAAGTGATCTTGTAGAA